TGCTCCTTAACTAAATTTAGTCAAAAGTATTCAAAGTTATCAAATATTTAGAAATAGATTGATACATGATCGATGACAATGCTAATGGTCTTCTTATTTGGCTGTGTTGTGAAGTGAAACTTACTTTTAGCAAAGGTGGAACATTTTTTATTTCTTTACGACAAAATAATTATGCTGGAATGTTTCTGGATGAGGTATTTGTGTTATTTATACATTTAGCTGTATTCTGATCTATCCTAAAGCATTACAGGTCAAAGCAATCCATTGTTAGCCTACTTATTGTTTATTTATCACAATTTACAATAAGGCTCTTAAAGCACTGCTTTAATAAATGTAGTGTCGTCATATTTCAAATACCTCAAGTAAAATGAAGCCATTTGTTTTATTTTTTTACTGACAGTGTACTTGTATTTTTTTACGTTTCTATTTTAGATTAAGATCAAGTGTAAAATAAAATTTACATGTGATGTACAGCTATTTAAGAAACAAATTTGCCATATTGTAAAGAAAATAGTGTAAAATATGTAAATAAAACGCTAAATTTAAATCTTTTTACCATATACTTTAATTTAACCTTTCAAAGCTTAAAAATATATATTTTTAAAAATGGGCAAAAAGTGTCTCTATGGCCTTAAAGATTATTTGGTAGTTTTACCAGTGCTATTGAAAAAGATTAATTGTCATGAAAGGAAAAATTGACTATACTTCCTTTGTTAGTGCAAATTATACATGTAGCTTTGGGATGTAAGCAATCAAACTATTAAATTAGGTTTACACCTAAAAAAAAGTAATTTCATAATGAAAATCGGATTTTTTTTCAAAAATAACCAACTAGTACATTTTAAAAGAGTAATTTGTACTTTTACCTAATATTAGTATTATTTACTTAAATTTGTGTTATTTTAGCAGTGTAATAGTATTTTTACTTGAGTACAAAAAAGATTTCACAAGCACTTAGTGCAGATTAATTTTATTATTAATATATGATTAATAAATATTATTATTAATGGTTTTTATTTGTATCTTTTCCTATGCAATGTTTTATGGGTTGCTGAGAATACATTTCAGGTCTTCAATACATAGCATGTCAGTCTTGAAAAAAACATAGGTGCTGGAATTGACTTTCATTAGGCTGTGCCTGTATGAACCCTGTCATATGTACATTTAACATTTATTTCAAGATTTGTCTGAAAGTGTATGAATATGACATATAGCCTATATTTATAAGGTCCAAGCAGCATTTCCAGCTTTTGATGAATAGGCTACTATGAATACTTTATATTTAAGTACAGCAGTTTTCTTTTTACTTTTTAAGAACTTTTAAAAACACATTTTAACTAAAACTTTTTTTTTTTATCTGCAAGCACAGTTAATGTTCAGACTATTTCAAATGTTTAAAGTGACTGACAATAATACATATTCTTAATAATAGGATTTAATCTGCATCGTTTTAAAACTGTGCACACCTGTAGCTGCTTAATTAGGCTTACGACGCTATTTTTTAATACTGGTTAAAAAATAGCGTCGTAAGGTGGTACTTGGAGAGACGATTTTTTTCTAAGGTGGTACTTGGTGAAAAAAGTTTGAGAACCACTGCTTTAGAATATCCGTTGGGTGGGCCAATTGTTTTTTCCCATCCTTAAAGTTGCAAAAATTGATTTGGGCATAAACTTATTGCATCTGCGCTGAGTGTGCGCTTTAGACATTGTGTGTGCTTAGATTGTGCTTAGATTGTTAAAACAGAGCCCATTATGTTAGTCATCAAAATAAAAGATGATTATTCTACTCACCAAGGCTGCAATTATTTAATTAATACAGTAAAAATGGTTTAACTGTGAAGTTTATTAATTTCTGTTTGTTCTGGGGTTTGCATTGTTATTATTGACCACTTTAGCTATCATATGATTAACCAATTAGGCAAATCCAAACGCACATAAATACCCAGCTTTTCTTCCCTTAGTCATCTTCGCCTCAGATAATCCCACAATCCACTCTGACTCCTCCCCCTCTTTCCTAGATTGATCCAGAACATGGCGACTCAGTGATTAGCACTGTTGCCTTACAGCAAGAAGGTCACTGGTTTGAGTCCGGGCTGGGCCATTTGTTGTTTCTGTGTGGAGCTTACTTGTTCTTGCTGTGTTTTTTTTCCCAGGTACTCTGGTTCCTCCCACAATCCAAAGTCATACAGTATAAGTAAACTGAATAAATCAAATTGGCACATTAAATAAGTGTTTTAGTACTGGGCATTCAGCACATAGCCATATGCTGGAATAGTTTGCTGTTTATTCTGCCATGGCAACCCCTAATAATTAAGGATTAGGCTGAGAGTACCATTTCAGGGGTGCTCTTAAGATCTCATACTCCCCTCTTGTCAATGCTAATCACTGAGCCACCGTGACACACTTTACTGTATTTTTGATCAAATAAATGAGAGCAGGAAAAGCTATTATTGTTGTTTTTAAATCTTACGAATCCAAAACTTTTGCCTGGTAGTGTTCATATTCTAAAACTCATTCTGATCGACTTTAAGTCAATTCCAACCCTTTAAATGTAGACAAATAATGACAAAGCAACATCCACACATAATTTATACAAATATTTATTAACAAAACTTGCTATAAAAGTAGCATTGAAAATGTGGCATGATCAACAGTATCCAACTTAACATCGACACAATATTTGGCTAAACAAACTGAGCACAAAGTTAAAAAAAAACAACTGAGTATCAATACTGTATGGAGTGCAATGATAAAGACATCGTATATGCGTCTGGCTATTTCATAAACTGGCAAAAACCTTAAACAGAAGACATTTAAAAAAATAATATATGGCAAATAGTAAAGATAAAACAAAATTATATAAAGCAGATGTGGTATCAAAATACAGCACAGAGAAACAATATATATATTTAAAGAAGCTGCAGTAAAATACATGATATCTCAGAAATAATCAAGTAAAAAAAAGAGAGAATAAGATATAGAAAATAGAAATAAATATCAGCAAAAGTAATAAAACGTGTTTTTTTTATTATTTATTATTTATTTATTATTTTTTATTATTTATTTTTATTTTTTTGTTTTTCTATTATACACAACTCCTATCTTTCTAATATAAATGGTGAGGTTTTATTGAAGACAGTCTTTCATAGGGTCTTTTGGGGGTCTTGACAAAAAAAATACTTTCTTGACAACTGGACAAAGCAAGAATTGATTATGACAATGTTAAACTGTTCCTCATTGATCAACCCGCTTACACTGAAAAGCAGCATCTCGTCATAACAAGAAAATGTTCACTAGTGTGTAACATCCCTGACTATTTAGCAAATAATTTGTTTATTAAAATTATGTGTCTACTTATCCAGCAAAAAAATATGTAAACAATGTAAATGGCTTTATTCTTAAAGTTCTTTCAATAAAATTACATTTGGAATATTTTTCAAAGCATTAATCGTTAAGCATAAATCAAAACATAAAAATAAGAATTCAACAATTTGATTTAGGAATCTTTTCATATATTTTACATTATTTGTATTTTTTTTTTTTTTTTTAAAGCCCTTTGTTGGAAAGTATTTTATTTTATTTTATTTTATTTTATTTTATTTTATTTTATTTTATTTTATTTTTTTTATTTTATTTTATTTTATTTTATTTTATTTTATTTTATTTTATTTTATTTTATTTTGGTTGACTGGGGGTTTGATCTTGGCCTTAAAGTCAGATCGGTCTTTAAATGAACTCCCAAAATGCCACAAAAAAAATTTTTTTTTTTAAAAAGAGGTCATATATGATCCAACAATTTCCTACAGTATGTCCCCTATGAAATGATTGCATGAAAACAGATCTCAATATGTCCAAAAATAACAACTGGAGAAGACACTTCTTCAAGTATTGACAATTTGTGAACTGATTGAGGATTGTCTCCTTTTACTAAAAAGGAAAGTGTTTTTTTTTTTTTTTGGTTAAAAAAAGACACAGATCTCCTTCTTCACTCTATTTAGCCTTCACTGCATGAAACACTACAGCAGGCTTCTGAGGTAAAACCAGTCTGATCCTAATAAAACTACAGTATCTGTATAATCTCTTTTAACAAAACGTCAACATTCATCCATCTGATGTCACATCCATTTCTGCTCATTCAGAGAGTTCGTAAGGCAAACATTTTCAGAAGCATGATGGCAACCCTGGGCTGGTGTACTGTATATATGTATGTTTGTGTCGGTGTGTGTATATATAACTGCAGATCCTTATGATAATGCATGTAAAGGTTTGTTCTATGTATAGAAGTACAGTGTCCTCAAAAATAAACGGAACACTTAAGCCAGTCCTGGTCCTGGAGGGCCGCAGCTCTGCATAGTTTATCTCCAACCACCTCCAACTCACACCTGCTTAACAGTCTCTAGTAGTCTTGAATACCTTGATTATTTGGATCTGCTGCGTTTGATAAAGGTTGGAGCAAAACTGTGCAGAGCTGTGGCCCTCCAGGATTGGAGTTTGAGACCTATGATTTAAGCAGTACTAATGGATGCTTGTTTCCCATATAAATGTGACTTTTTCCCCTTCACAGTTCTGACAATTTATTTGATAGTTTGCATATTGCTGTATCAACTTGAAAATTCAGTCGCAGGTTTATATTTCAGTTCTTGAAAAAATATTTGAATTTTGAGACTACGATGACAAATTGTTATATATGTCCTGCTATTCTGAATGTATAAATGACAATTATATCCATATTATTACTTCTAATTTCCCAGAATTGATTCATGTGGATACTTTTCTACTGCAACTGAACATTTTGTACTTAAAGGCATAGATTACACAAAATCAAGCATTGCCTTATTTACTTGCACTCAAGTGGTTTTAAACTTTTATGAATATGGTAACACTTTATTTTGATGGTTCATTTGAGTATTAGTAGACTGTCTACAAAATATCTGTTGATACTGCTGCTAAACAGACATTTAACTGATTATAAGAAGCTTGTCAACTCATACTAACCCTAACCCCAACCTAAAAGTCTACTTATAATCTAATGTGAATTAGTTGGCATGTAGATGCAATGTAACTTAAATTCAACAAACGGATCATCAAAATAAAGTGTGACCTGAATTTCTTTTATCTGCTGAACAGAAACAATGTTTGTTGACATTTATAGTAGGAACTAAATGGCTGTTTTTTCCCAACATTCTTGAGTATATCTTTTGTTTGTGTTCAACAGGAGAAAAAAAACGCAAACAGTTTTGAAAAGAGTAAAAAAAATGGGTAAATAATGACAGAGTTTTCATATTTCAATGAATTGCAAGACACTCAAAATTAGGTAAAATGTCTCTTGGTTTATGTCAAAAAGTGTTAAATTCATAATTGAGACTATTTGTCCTTTTTGCGAGTTTTTAATCTGGCAATTGAGTAGACAATTTTGAGATTATATCTTGTTTCTATAATTTACTAAACATATAAATGATTCTGTAAGGAGGAGAAGGAAAAAAAAACATAATTATGAGAAATAACCAGAACTGTGATAAAACCCATTAACCATACTGAGTGAGTTAATGTCTCCCAATAACATTTGCTAAATATTTTGCAATTGTAATTTAAAAACAAGACCGTTTTTGCAAAACACAAATTCAGAATGGTCACAAATATCTTCTCAAATATCTGAACTCCAAAACTTCAGAACTGTGAGGGGAAACTTCAGGATTAAAATAAAAATTCACAATATTTTTCTTATCTTGGTGAAAACAGGCCTCAACACATGAATGTCATTTCTCTCAATACCCAAAAATGTACCATTGAAAAAGTAACAGAACTAAAAAAAAAACATTCATTTTTTTGTGCATACTGGTGTAATGTTTAGCATTTAGCGCAATGACATTCCAGCAAATTGAAGTCTGACTTAAGTATCCGGATATGTTTTGGGCACACTTATACATTATAAAATAAATTAGAGCACATTCCTAGATTTACATGAGTGTGCGAGTTTCATAGGGCCTTGGCGCTGGTGGTGTGTGTGGTGTGTGAGATGGGTTTTTGTGGGTAGTGGCTGTAATAGTACACTTGGAAGAGAATGGTGAAGTCCACGCACACCTGAAGGAGGCCGCAGATCCAGAACTGCATTGGAGCCTGAGTCAAAAGGAAGTAGCCTGTCTTAAAAGTGTCTCCACTTGTCCACATCAACACCATCTTGATACTGGAGGGACAGGAAATTAAAGAGAGAGAATGTTATTAAAGTCTGGACATGTCAGAAATGGAGACACAGACTGATCAAAATCACTAAAATAGGGAAAACAGGTAAATGTGAAGGGTAAGTCATGTTTAAGATTTAATATTTGTTTTTTTTTTAAGCCTTGGGATTATCCATTTTCATAATATTAAAAAGACAACAAAACAGGATGCATTAGTTCTCGCGTTGGTCAGGTTTTTGCTGTTTTTATTGCCTTTGGTTGTAGAAAATTTGATGTGCAAAAAAAAAAAATTATATACATATATACATACATACATATATATACACACATATATATATATATACACACACACACATATATATACACACACACACACACACACACACACACATATATATATATATATATATATATATA